TCTGTTCTGTTCTGTTCCGTTCTGTTCTATTCTGTTCTGTTCTGTTCTATTCTGTTCTGTTCTGCTCTATTCTGTTCTGTTCTATTCTGTTCTGTTCTGTTCTATTCTGTTCTGTTCTGCTCTATTCTGTTCTGTTCTATTCTGTTCTGTTCTGCTCTATTCTGTTCTGTTCTATTCTGTTCCGTCCTATTCTGTTCTATTCTGTTCTGTTCTGTTCTATTCTGTTCTGTTCTGTTCTATTCTATTCTGTTCTATTCTGTTCTGTTCTGTTCTATTCTGTTCTGTTCTATTCTGTTCCGTTCTGTTCTGTTCTGTTCTATTCTGATCCGTTTTATTCTGTTCCATTCTGTTCTGGTCTGTTCTATTCCGTTCTATTCTGTTCTGTGCTGTTCTGTTCCGTTCTATTTTATTCTGTTCCGTTCTATTTTATTCTGTTCCGTTCTGTGCTGTTCTATTCTGATTTGTTCTGTTCCGTTCTGTTCTGTTCTATTCTGATTTGTTCTGTTCTGTTCTGTTCCATTCTATTCTGTTCCGTTCTGTTCCGTTCTGTTCCGTTCTATTCTGTTCTGTTCTATTCTGTTCTATTTTGTTCTGTTCTATTCTGATTCGTTCTATTCTGGTCCGGTCTGTTTTATTCTGTTTCATTTGTTTGGAAAGGAAATTGTGTGTTAAAATTTTTGAAGAGTGTTTCAAAGGAACGACTCAAACAGATGTTGCAGATGTTTTGTGTTCGGGTTCTCCCGTCTGGGTGTCAAATGGCTCCTCGACTCGAGAATAAAGGAGAATAAACTCTAAATAAAGCCCTTAAGGTTTAAAACAAGAGCGTCATTTTCATATCCTGTTGCACAGAAAATGCAAAAATAAAAGCGCGCATCAAAATCATTTAAAATTTCTTGCACGTTTGCTCTCGAACACGTTTAAACTTTCATACTGACGTGATTTTAACGGCACTAAACATATTTATTTTGGTACCAACTGGTTCGTTCAGGACCAGAACATGTGATGGAGTCTTAGTAACTTTATCAGAAAAGTAAAATAAAAACTCCAGTTTTACAAAGAATGCTTGAAATTCCAGTTTTATAAATCGCGTCAGACGTTGCTTTGTTAGTTTTTATAAATACAAATCAAGATGCATCACGACTTTATTCAGATGAATTTAATAAATTCATGATTTTGATTATTTGATTTAGGTTCATATTGACTCTGTTTTATGAGCAGCGATGAGTTCAGTGTTGAATATTTTCAACACTTTGTGACGACGGAGCCTTTGAGTTTATAGATTTCATTTTCTGTCAGAGGAACCCCGAGCGAAACACAAATAAGAAGGAAAACAATAAAAACAAACAGACGGCAGAAAATAAACAAGTCAACAAAAAAGGAAAGAAGCAACAAAGAGACAGAATCAACAAAACAGGAAGGAAGGAGAGCGAAAAGGACGGATGGAGTCAGACTGGAGGATGTGTTGGAAGTGTGAACACACACACACACACACACGGCAGCAGGAAGTGGGTCCACACGAGGACAGGAAGTGAGAAAATATTTCACACGAAAACATAAATGTGTCTCATTATAGTGAAGGTGAAGAATTTTCAAAGGCCTGATTTAAAATAATCATCCGCCACAAAAAGTAGTTCCTCCCCACATAGAAAAATACTTAACTCCCACACCTGCTGTGTGTGTTTTTGTTCTGTTTTTCTTATTTTGACTCAAACCAGAAATGGTTTCCTCAGTTTGCTCTGATTAAATAATTAAACCGGAGCGTTTGGGTGCGCAGACAGAACCTCGACCCGAGGGAGAACGAAGAGGCCTCAGTTGTGCACAACAAAACAACTAAATAATAATTAAACAACACGTTTCACTGAAAATGTAAGACAGGCTGTGAAGTTTGTGTAATTAGAGCGTCGTGGTGTCTGCCACGTTATTTCTTCTGCTGCTGACGTTTTATTTGTCGCTCCTGTGGAGGAGCCTCGTTTGTAGAAGAGACGAGCGTCCTGCCCGAGGAGGCGGGGCTCTGATAACAAACAAACAAACAAACAAGAACAAGCCTTTTATCTGCATCAAATGCTGTCGTCCATCGTGGGAAACACTTTGACTGAACGTTTAATGAAACAAAGTTGCTCCCATCGACTCGTCCGAGCTTCAAACAGCCGCTCATCGAAATGATTAGCAGCGATCGCTCCTTATTGATTGTTCAGGTCTGGCTTGGTTTCCGTTCCAGTGAATGTTCAGGCTGCCAGGCCGAGCCTCGAGCCGTCCCCACGTGGAGACTGATGTCTTCCCTTCGTCCTCATCAGAGCGTCGTGCTGAGGTTTCTCTCTCAGATGTAAGCAGAACCAAGGAAGGCTACGCCGCTAAACTTTCAAGTTTTATAATAACACGTGCGCACGGTTACACACCTTAAGATGAATTCATACGAGCCTCAAAGCTGCAGACGTCCGACTTAAACGTTTCGTTTCACGTCTTTAAGTTTTTAACGAGTTTACGTTCAGAGCAAACGTGTCTGGACAGTTCGTAGACGTGAAGTGAGGACAGCTGTCGTGATAAAAAGTGTTTGGACCGCAGCGACGGTGGGACGTAAACATTTAGTGGTTTTAACGCGCTGAAACCAAAGACAGCTGTTCAGCCGTCGAGCAGAGAAGTCTCTGAAACTGTTTCGGTTGTACAGTTTTCAAACATCTAAGCTACAAGGGTTAGCATGTTAGCAGCCGACTGCTAATCATACATCAGCTGAAGAATTTAATAACTTCGGCTCGTTAGGCTCACAGCGTTACGTTACAATTATTATACGCATCAACCAAAAACGAACGACTTGTTGGCTCTGGTGTTTTAGCTGACTCCATTTAAATTAAACCTAAAATTAAAAAAAAAAATTGTTGAATTTTAAATTAGGCCTTGGTCCCAAATATTGTAAATAAAAATGTCATAAATCAAATCTGATGTTGGTTAAAAATCTGAGTTCTGGCTTCTCATTTATATCATTTAAAATTACTATAAAGCATTTTTATACTTTTACACTTATAAAATAATTCTTATGCTCAATTTTCGTAGAGCAGGAAAAGTAATAACGATGATGTTTTTCTTCATGAATAAAATCACAAAAAAATACACGTGATACAACTTTTAATTTTTATTTATTACTGTAAAACTTGTGTTTTATATTCACATTATTATATTATTATAATCAGAGTCTCATCCCGGCCTGTGCATCGTTATTTGTGTTTTAGTCGAAGTCCTGAAGCAGATTTTATTATTTCCTGTCCGTTTTTATTAATAAAAACGCCGTAAACATTTAACGTTTAATCACCAACTCAGCAGCAAAAACCTGCATTTCTGATTTCCCTCATTTTCAGCTGTTAACATCATAAAAGCAGCCATAAAAAAAGCCGCCCGGCAGATGTGGAGGTTGACCCTCCACATCTGCCGGGCGGCTAACCAAAGGCAGCTGCTGAACTTGTTGTTTGGTAAAACGAGCACAGACTTCCTGCAAAGTTGCCTTTTTAAGGTTTCTGCTCAACGGTTATTCTTGATATCTGATTTTTACCGTACGGGACGTCGTTTTGCGCACGAGGGTGAGTAAATAAAAAAAAAACTGTTGAGTCTGACGCCCCCCGCCTGGCAGTCCTGATGCAGGAACTGACCTCTGCGAGTCCTTTAAGCTTTTCCAAACCAAACTCAGGTTGCTGTTGCTAAGCAACCAGGAGATTACAGTTTTGAGCTAATAATAGTAATTATTATAACGCAGAACACGATTCACACGATGAGACATGATGTGTTAATTAGAGCGCAGGTGGGTGGATTCTGTTACGACGGGCCTGACCCTGCGCTAAGTTAAACATGATCAAGTTTATTTTTTATTTTGAACATAAATCCTGAGTGTTTGAGCCTGAAATGACAGACAGCCGAGTAATCCGGTTTTAGCTGATGTGAGAAGCTGCAGGGAGACAGGCGGGCTAATAGCTGCTGATACGTCCACTCCTATAATAGAGGACGAATCCCCCTGTTGCTCTTCAGGCTAAATATACCCCGTCAGAGGGGCAACTGAACGGGTCTGAGCAGCATCTGATCACACACACACACACACACACACACACACACACACACACACACACACACACACACACACACACACACACACACACACACACACACACACA